TAAATTGTAATATTTAATAAATATTTATATATATATATATATATATATATATAAAAATTAAGTGAAGTACAAACAAGCAAAAATTGTAAATGCAATGCATTATTATTTGTAAAAAAGTATATTTCTAAAAAATAAAATGTTATTTCTAGTTATATAATATGATTTATATTATAAGAATTAATAATAATAAAATAATAACTTTATTATAATTTACTGATATTAAAACATATGAAATATTTTTTTATATAATTGTATTATTATTATTATTATTGTATAACAGATCAAATAGATATACAGTGAGAAAATTATGGCATTTATGCCATGAATATATGCAACCGATTTTATGCACCGCATTGTTCATAGAGTTTATCTTATTTGTCGTCATTTACATGACCGGTACGTATCCCACGATATTGGTGTTGGCTATACTGGTGGTGGCCTTCATTGTGTTCATATTGTTGGTCGTTCAGTGCGCCAACATTTGCGTTCACGAATGCAATAATCCCATGTGCTATACGACCCGTTCAGGTGTTACCAGTCGTAACACTTTGAGTTCACCCGCCGACTCCACTTACTCGGTCAACACCATTGATCAGACCAGTGTCATAGTCGACCAGACAGTCACCGGCGGCGGCGACAGCGAGAGCGACTCGGTGTCAATTCATATGCCATCGATGGACATAACTTTACCGCAATACGAACCGCCGCCTACTTATTCCGAGGCAATCGCTTCGTTGGGTTTTGTCGGCGATAATCAAACAACTAAACTGTTGGCTGACTCACAGCATCTATAGAGATAAATAAGGCTCAAATGTTTGGACTATTTTGTTATTAATTAACAACAACAAAATCTAACTGTATTTTGTGAACTAATAACTGTCTATTTTTTCGTAATCCAACAACCAGTTGGATATCAAATAAAACTAAATTATTTAACATTGTATTGCCTTTTAACGCACAGACACATTAATGTACTGTTTTATATTGAATATACAGTGTTTCAATACAGACACATATAAAAAAACGCATAATACATGTGATGGTCATTATTATTAATTGGACACTAAAACACTGGTTTTTATTTTATTTTAGTTATTTAGGTAATGTTGGTATCGATTACATACCGATACTGTTAATGACGCTAATGATTGGATCAGAATAGAATAGATATCCAAAAACTTTTACTGTTTTATATAGGGTTGCGTTGTTTTATTCAGGGGGTATATGAGGGGGTAAAATGACAAAAATTTAGAAAAAATATTTTTTTATTTCTAGAAAAATACACACAATATAGTTGATGTTATTAAGYATTATTTAAAAGCACTTTTTAACATTGTTTTTATTTCATTATTTATTTATTTATTTGATTTAATTATTTAAATATATTATTTAATAATAATATAATATTTATATATATATATTATGTATATTAATTAAATAAAATAAAACATTTAATTTCTTAATAAATTTATTTATTCATGTATATTATAAATATATTAATATTATTTTTTTWWAAATATTTATATTTGTCAAATAAAATATAAAAAATATTCAATTTCATTTATTTTAATTAAATTAATATTATTAAAAAGTTTTACATATAATAAATAACTAACAATAAATTATTTAATCTTATTTATTTGAAAATAATAATTTCTACCAAACAAAATATGACAATATTATTGTATTAATAAAATTTTAAAACTGGAAACATATTAAATATAATATTTATTAAATATTTAAAATATTTTATATATAATTYAATAATAGGATTAATAAAAGGATGTTAAAAACATTTTAACAATTTATTTGTATTTATTGACAATAAATATTACAGTAACTCAAGATTAATTTAATACACATATTTTAAAACAAATAAAAATTTTGCAAAATTTTATATAAATAAATTGTATATATAAATAAACTTTTATAATTTAAAATTATTTAAATTTCAAAATGTCAATTACAAAATATTATAATTGAATATCAAGTCTAAAGTTAAGTGAAAAAAATGTTTGACATATCATATATTTTATTTAAATATTACACAATAATAATAATAATAATTTCATTTATCAATTATCGCATAGTTTTATCTAAACTCGTGTTTAATAAAGGTTTGAAATCTTTTTTATTATAAAATTCAGTCATAAAAATAAACTATTATTCTATTTATTTAAAAACAGATTTATTAACAAATGATATCAAAATTGATAAAAGTATAGGAAAACTGACATCAAATCTATTAAATAATAAGCAAAATACTAGTTATTTTGCACTAAATCTAAACAAAAGGTTAGATTTAATATTAATTTATGTATTTTTAAAAAAATCGTATATTAGATAAATGCTATTTTAAAGATTATATTCATATGAAATAAAACATTCAAACAAATAATTTTAGTTATTATGTGGTTTTATAAAGTAATACTAATTTTTTATATGACACTCATATATAGCCATGTTTTCAATTATACAAAATTTAAACAAAGTCTGTCACCAATTGAATCAACGACCACTAGTGCACCGATAATGGGAACAACCGACACAACCACCACCACTACTACTAATACCACAGAAACAGATATTATGCCATTGACTCCTTATGTATCACAACAACAGCAACTTTCCGATGAAATAATATCAACTTTGGGATTAAATTCGGATAAAGATATGACGTTTGCCGATATGATGTCTAACTTGAAATTAGATCTAATATGGATTCGTCAAAAACTTGTAGATTTATTATCGGCTCCTGTAGTTTTAGTCGGCGATTCTGTTATTTTTATCCAATGCACCGAATATATGGAAAGTATTTTACCAAAAAAGTTTCGTAAATTGTCTTCAATTATTTGTTTTTTTATTTATGAATTTATAATGAATAATGTTTGTCATTCACAAAAATATGATATCATTAAACGCTGTAATTGTATCAGTGCATCGATAATGGGAACAACCGATACAATCACCACTATTACTACCACCGAATCAGCTATAATACCATTAACTTCTTATACACAACAAAAGCAACAGAAACTTTCTGAAGAAATAATTTCTGCCTTAGGTTTAGATAAAAAAGACGCCACACTTGAAGATATGTTGTCTTTTATAAAAATGAATTCAGTGAACGTCCGCCAAAGGTTAGTGGATGTGTTGTCAGCACCTGTAGTACTGGTTGGCGATTCGTATGTATTTATAAAATGTCATCAATATATTGAAGAACTATTGCCGCCAATAATGAAACCATTATCGCCAACCGTTTGCTTTTATTTATATGAATATACATTAATAAATGTTTGCGATTATCAAAAAAATCAACTAAGAAAACACTGTAATTGTAGTATTAATTAATATTTTTTAAATTATTGCAAATATGTCACTCATTATCAAACAGATAGTATATTTTAATTTTTTTATTTATATTTTTATTTCATTTATTTATAAATCATTTATTAATTAGAATTTAAAGAATTTCAATTAATTAAAATAACATAATTTTGTTGAATTTATTTCTTTTATGTATTTACAACATCATTATATCATTAGTTTTAAATATACATATTTACTAAATAAAAATCACTAAAATATTTATTAATTTTATTTTTTAAACAAATAAATTTTAAGTTTGTACTTTAAAAAATCTTTACTAATACATACATACAGATAGACTATAAATAATTATTAGACACAAACAACAAAGAATTTATTACAAAAAAAATTWTTTTTTTTGAATGTCTATACTGTATATAATTTTTAATTTAGTAAARCATTTACTTTTATAATAGATAATTTTTTCTTCATGTATATTATAAATATATCAATTTTATTATTAAAAATATTTTATAATTGTMAACTAAATTATTATATTATTTTTTAAAATTAAATCAATATATAGTATATGTAAACAACTATAAATGAATTATATTTTTTATTTTATTTACTATTTTTATAYTTGAATTGTATTTGAATTTTTTTCAGATTAAAAAATAATTTTTATCAAATAAAATATGACATTTTTTCATTTATTTGTTATTATTTTATATTTAAATTTTATAACAGTTTAATATACAGTGTCTAACTAATGTCTAACTTATTAAATCTCAATAATACTGTAATAATATCTTAGGATTAACAATAGGATATTGAAAACATACAAAATATTTATTTTTACAGTAATTAGCGAAAATATTATTGACAATAAATAGTAGTTTAAAATTAATACAATAAACATATTGTAAGTAAAATACAGTATATATAATATATATAAAGTATACAAACTTTTGAGTGAAACAAATAAGTGTTGAAATTAAATATTAATAAAAAAATATAACGATTTACTGATGAATATATATTAATAAAAATAATAATTACAAAATATAAATAATAATAATAATAACAGAAAGAATAAAAACAAATCAGAATCAATAAAAAAAAGTTTTATTTGAAAAATTACACATAGATTACGAAATCTGTGGATCAATTGATTGCCATGACGTTACAAACTACCGGTGCTCTCAACACACACATACTATACTAGAGTACACATGACATTGCAATACATTTATATTCAATAGTGAATATTCTGTGTATGCTATCTTAGCTTACAGTAATATACAGTATATATATATATATAATACTCTATAGTCATATATTATTATATAGTATATAATGCTGTTTAACATGATATATTCAAAACATTAAATTGTGTGTTTGTTATTATTATAATAGTTATGCAATAAATTAAATTTGCCTGTAAAGGCTAAAAAACAGTTTATAACTGGTTATTAAAGTCAATTTGAACATCATGCTATAAAATAAAATAAAATTTTAATGTTAAATTTTATAATTATTAATTTTATATATCACTAAGACAATTTATAACAATAATACAATACAACTTATAATAAACTATACATTATTAAAAGTTATATAATATTTATATTATTTCTAGTAATATTTTAAAAATATCAAAAAAAATTTACACATTTATATTAATAGCAATGCCAGTTTTACGTTATATGGGATTATCACATAGATCACGATCTACGTAAGTAATGCTATTTAATAATAAAAACTTTAAAAACCAGATAAAAAATCTATTTAATTATAAACTTTATCTAACATTTCTATTAAAAAAAAGTATTTAACATTATTTTATTACAGTTATTATTTTAGTATATAATACTTGTTTTTCTATAAGTAACCAAAAAACTAATACTAATCAGTTGAAARTTATTTTATTTAAATTAAACATATAATGTTCAGAAATATATATATATATATATATATATATAACTTCTATAAATTTTAATATATAAATATATATATATTAATTTTTTAGAGCTTTTTATATAACACAATGCAATAATAAAATAAAAATGTCAATAAATAGATTAATGTCAATGGGTGTAACTTATGTATAATAATAATAAAAATACTAATAATAATTCATTCAGATTGTTAATCAATTTATTAAAGCATAAATTAATTAAAATATTACATTTAAATTTAATATTTAGACAGCATTTCTATTTCAAATTTAGAAAACATTATTTGTAATCTATTTTTAAAAAACACGTATTTTATCGCGTATACTATAGATTTAATTCATCGACATCATCGTACGTGAATAACCAGAAAACATCATGTGCATTGATCATCATATTTGGCCTTATTATCATTGACATATTGCTGTATGTGGCACCGGGATCCATGCAGCCGCGTGCCACCTATTTTGCCTACATGTTTACCATTATTCTGGTAATAATGATAATGAAATTTGTGTTTTGCCGAAACTGTACAAAAAAGTATGAAAATGACGAACAACCCATTGAGTTGGGCGGCGGTGCCGGCGGACAGACACCGCAATCGCAGAGCCGACAGAGCAGTGTTTACAATATAGATATACCGATTAGTATGGATCCGTACGGCCGAAGGCATACACTTACTGCCGACCGGCTATCGGTTAGATGTCCGTCGCAAATGTCGTTACCGCCGAAATACGAGACGTTATTACCGCCGAGTTATTCGCAGGCAGTTTCGCTAATGACGTTAAATAAATGACTTTCAAATTACACTAAATTTATTTTATATATATATCTATACATATTATTTAACAATTTAGTACTCAGTTTACTATAGTATATAATAATCATGAAAACGGTTTGTCATTATTAATATTATTATTATTTTTTTTAATTATAATAGACATTAAATATTTGTTAMTATTTATCAAATAATTTGTCATTTTAGTTGATTTAAACAAAAAATTTTTAATTTGTACATGACAATTTTTGCATAATTATTATAATATTCTCAATAACTAATGTATTATAGTATTAAATAGGCTCTATCTTACTATGAGACCGCATCAGACTCCCGACTCATAATGTTTTGTGAATATCTATTAAACTATATTTTTAATATAAAAATGACCACAAATGGCAAAGTTATAGATAATTTTAGACTCAATATATTTATAATTAATTATTTTTTATTTACTCTTATGATTGGCCAGATAATTGCATCAGACCTGTTAAAAGAGGTCTGATGCAATTATTGCCAATCATAAGAGTAAATAAAAAATAATTAATTATAAATATATTGATAAAATTATCTATAACTTTGCCATTTGTGGTCATTTTTATATTAAAAATATAGTTTAATAGATATTCACAAAACATTATGAGTCGGGAGTCTGATGCTGGTCTGATTTTAAGATAGAGCCTATTAAATACAGTATTGTAAAACATTTGAATCTTATGTTATAAAGTTTATTGTCAGTGATTAATCATTTTTATTTGCAATAATTTGTTAATGTAATAGTAATAAGGTATTTTCCTTTTTAATTATAATATTATTATTAATTATACTAAAATAATAATAATAATTGTACATAAAAACTATAAATAAATTATTTATAAATATATAATAAATAAAATATATTTTTTTAAATAATTAAACTTTTATTATACAATATAATATATKTTTTTTAAATAAAAAATCAATTTACTTTAAGGATAATTTACATTATATGCACAATTTTTAATTATAGYTTTTAAAAACTATTTTAAAACATGCAATTTGTTTATTATTAAATATTATCTAAAATTATAATAAGACTTACTATTTTGTATTATTATTATTATTACACATTAATATAAAAATTAATGACTATCTTTATTTATCATTTCGTATAACTACTTAAATTTATTATTAGTTTTATTTTGGTTATTAGCTAGAAAAAGATTTTTTTTAAATTTTTATATGTAATTAAATATGTTTTATTAAAGTATTTGTTTATTTTTATATAATACACATAAGCCTACAAAGTCAGTACATATATTTACTAAATAAAATATATTTTTATTAATAATTATAGTGGTTTCTCAATAATATTTTTTTTGTATACCATAAACATGTGATATTTACAAAAACATGAGATTATATAATAATGTAATGATTATAATAATTTTGATATTTAACATCACTTAAACATTTGACTATTGGTATATTGAAGTATTATTGTTGTCATCATCACATTAAGCCAACTCCCAGTATCTATAGTAACCCATCACTAAAAATAGTAGATATTATTATAACTGCATTTATAGTGACATCATATTCAAACTCTAAATAAATAAATATATATATATATAAATTATATACAATTAGGATATAATAATTAACTATAAATTTAATATGTAAATAAGCAAGATAAGCTTTTTTTGAAAACAAAAAATGTCATTAAATCTAACTGAGCCAAACACTACTAATCTAGCAGTTACTATTGGCGATAACAGTAATGACATAATAGAGTAAGTAGAAAATATAGTAATAATTATTGGTATTTTATATAAAAAAATGTTTTCAAACATTTATCACACATTTATATATAAATTTATATAATTATATAATTATTTTTAATGAATTCATTGTTTAATCGATAAAATATGACATTAAACTTTTGTTTTAACAGTAATAATAATTTATTGTTTAAATCATAGACAAAAACGATTATCATTGTTTGATAAYAATTTTGGCGGATTGACAGTCAATGAAAAATGGTCATGCTGTAAACTAACCAAGCTAATTTGGTCCATATGTTTGTATTGTATATTTTTAAGCCATACCATGGCTTTCGTAGGCATCATAATTATCTATCTGATCTCATTGGTATTGTTTGCCAATAGATGGGTGTGGCTAAACGACAATATTAATTATGTTAAATTTGCATTGATTTTTGTGCAAGGTGCACTTATAGCCTTGGGCAATAGACAACGTAATCGTATTAATAGTCAATTTAAACAATGCAAACAACGTTGTTTAGTTGACTATTATGTCCATCAGTTTCGTGGACCATACTATTATGTGCTACGCCTGGCCCTCATAGCTGTCTATATGATAGTCATAATTATTTGGCGCAATGAGCTCACCAATGCTAACATAATTTTGTTGTTAACATTGTTACCAATATTACAGGTCATACTGACACTACTGTTGCCATCACCAAAGCACAGGGAGATAGTGGAGATAATTTTTTAAAATATGTATTTTCAAATATTGTTTTTGTTGTTGTCATAATACTGTACAATTAAAACTTTTTTTTACTTATCAATGCTATTTATAACAATCAATTTCTATTGTAATAGTTTTATTTTTGCTGTTATTGTAATTTTTAATATATTTTTGCTACATTGTATTGTATTATATAAAAAAGTGATATTTTAATTATAAACTAAAAATTATATATTTAACAATACTTTAAATATGTTTGGATATTGAATGTTGTAAAACAATAATTATTTTTTATGTAAATGTTAAATATAATTTGTCTGTAATATTGATTTATAAAATAAAATATATCTTAAGTAAATATTTGTAATATATTTATATTAATAAAAAATATTTATATAAAGAATTTGTTGTATTTAGATATTCTAAAATAAAATTTCTATTTTACTTTACAAAAGTAAACATATAATTACAAAAATTGAATGAAATATTAGATAATAAAATAACATTATCTAAAATTAGCAGAATATCTATTGAGGATCTAATTTACATTAAATAATTAGATTAATACTTTATATAAATAATACCGGTATATATTTAGTATAATTTTATTTACAATAAGCTTTAAATTGTTTATATTAACACGAAAATATTAATAAATAAAATATTATTAGTAATAGACTAAAATATGAATAATCAATAATTTGTATATATTTAAAAAAGTAATAATTATTATTAAACAAACTATTAGCTCTAATGAGAGATTTATGTAATAATATTTTTATATATATAAACTCTATTTTTGGTATATAATATTTTTTCAATAAACACATTTCTGGGGAAATCGATTAACCCACTTGTTTTGGGGTGACGTCAATGGAAAAAATAACTGTACATTCAATTCAATGCACACAATATATATATATGCCTACAGAATACAGAATATTCTGTGTGTGTGTTTGCAACTCTCATATGACACCAAAACATTTTACTGGATATTGTTTTCACATATAAATGTTGAAAGTTCAGTGTTTTCTATAATTTTTGTGTGTGTCTGACATTTGTAAACAATAATACAGTTATTATTTTGTGTGTTTGTGTGTGTAATGTTTATAAAAATTACATATCAATCAAAAATTATATAATAAATGATCAGCATGCATTTTGTTTGTGTAATGCATTTTTTAAAATTGTTATATTAATTCTATAAATTTTAATAATTGCGATTGCTTGTATCAATTTGATTTTGTATACAAGGTAAATTAATAAATTTGGATATAAAAATGACAACATCCCGTAGGTTTATTATATACAATATATATATCGTATATGTTATATAATATATTTTATTTTTTAAATATCTTAATGCAAGTTATTTATTTACTTAATACTAAATACTATTAATATTGATTATTGATATCTAATAACTCTATAAATTTTTATATAACTAAACATTAAATTAATTGATTGTTGTTATTGTTTGATTATTGATATATTGATTGATGTTTATGAAAATTATTTATTGAACCAATTATTGAAATTTAATTGACATTTTATAAGGTCGACGCTTATTCACTGGTTGGGCTACACTATTCAGTAACGATAGTGAAAGTGAAAGATCTACCTGGCCAATATGGCTGGCCATAGCACTGGGCATTAGTGTTATGATTATAATACTTCAAGTGACACAGTTGTCAAAATCGGACTACTCTATTAAGATTACTTACCTCTTCCTAGTATTGCTGGTATTTACTTTCATTAAACTGTTTTTGACAGTGTGTTTGACCAAAAGCCGCACATACCAGCCAACAGCATTGCCGATATCATCATCACCTGTAGCTGAACCTGTGCACAGTCGGGCCAGTCGACAGCCGAGTCAAGTGTCGACCACATTGTTGTTGGACGAGAGCGAAGTTGTTGTTGAACGGGCAGGCAGTGGCCGACCGATTGTCGGCCAATCGCTAGTATCGCTGAATCCGTCGGAGTTTTCTCGACCGCCTAACTATGACTTTCCACCGACTTATTCACAGGTAGTCTCTACGTTGACGTTGAATAATGGCATCAAATAAACATACATTTTAAATATATAATACTTTTTTTAAAAAAACTATGGACGACAAAATTCAATATAAAATAACCGATTGGCTAACATTTCTAATTTATATCGTAATATTGTTTACATTATTTGTATAATATTAAGTCATTATAAGAATTTAATGAAAATTTTTTATTAATTTTGACTATTTATTAATGTTTATATATTTTTATGTATTATTTATAAAACATTATGATATTTATGTATTAATAAATACAAAGATATTGTCTCAGATGATATTGTCTATATCGTATTGTTAGTGTGAAAATGTTTACTAATTTATATTATTATATTTTTAATTTTTTTATTGTAAATTATTGTATTTAATATTTATAATATATATAACAATTATAATATTTATTCAATCATAGTATTTCACATTAGTAAAATGGATACATACTGTAAAAATAACATTATATGCATTAATAGTATATAAAGTGTTTTTTAATTAATT